GAAAGAAATTTTAAAATAGATTTTGTCAATCAATCAAATCACTAACTTAATTATTAGATGATTTATCAAAACAATATTGTTTTTAAAATAAGAAATGTTTAGTAAGGTACAATATGTTAAAATAAATTATTGAAGTTTGATTCCGAGACAATTGGCTGTCCTTGAATACTTTATTGTGACAACAGAATGGTATACTCAAAACCCTATAGTAAATGACCAAAAGTGCGTTTTAAATATAATTAAATTTGATCTGTGAATGTATCACATCTTATTAACTTATTTGGAATAGAGTACCTATAGCAAAGTTACTTACGAATAATTTGCTTTCGCCTCTATTTTTTTATTTTCAAAAGCTTCTATAGCTGCTGTATCACGATCAGCTGCTGCTGCAGTATAACCAAAAAGTCTGGACATTATCCCACTAGTTTCTAAAACATATTACACATAATGAACATTTATTTAAAGTTCAATATCTAAGTAACAAAATACTGTAAATTAGTGATGATTACAGTTCAATAATAGAAAATATTTGCTTGTAATATTTAAGAAATACAATAGTTAGTCTTTATTTGAAACAGTGAACAAGGTTTTTTAAACTGTGAATATTAAGTTCTGTTAACCTTAAGTGTCCTACAGATGAATGTCACAACTGATAAAAATATTAAAGATATATTAAAATCAAGTGATACCTATTGTGAAATATTAAACATGTCTTTTTGGCAAGCATGCACTTTTATAAGTGGCAAATAAACTGCTCACGATTGTTCGCGCCTTGAAAACAGGACAATAATATGTACTTCGTAAACTATTTATATTTTAAGGTTTTAATAATTTAGGAAATATTATTCCATGGTATATTTGTATACATACACTAATTAAGCAAAACAAATAATTTAAAATTACCTTTATTATTTGACATATTATTTAACTGATTTAAGTTGTAATGCAGTGAATCGTGGTTTTTGACAAAAGTATGCAGAGAATTTGTAAAAGCCAAGTACCTAGAAGAAACATATTATATTAAAAATATGTTAATAACAATACATAGTAACTAATAAAGTAACACATTAAATAAGAGATGATTATTTTAAAAACAGAAGTATTGACTTCAAACTTGAGTTATTCTAAGAGTAACATATTAAATATTAACATACTATAATTTAAATGCATTGTAAAAGATAATAATTTAAATTTATTAAATAACAAAAATTACTTACTCTTTTAATTGGTCCATAATAACCTCTTCATCTTCCAATGCTGGACTAATAGCTGAAGCAATTGAGTCCATATAATGACCAGTTCTCTGAGTATAAAAAAAAACTTATATTACTGATTATAACAAAAATATTTGATACTATTTTCATATAATAGGTATACAATGATAAACATACATTTATTTATCTCTCCTTTTTATTAAAAATTTATTTGGATTTTAATAAATCTGACTCACAGTTAATATTTCCTGATAAAATTGAACTCTTTTTGGGTCCCAATAATAATAGAGTACCAATCAGCTTTCTTCATTATTCAATTGAAAAGTAATTTTAATTTTTGATTACAAATGTATTCTATTTCTACAATTAAATTGTAGCCATATTATATATTTTTAAAATATAATGGACTACGTTCTTACTCCTAATATGACGTTTTAGTAAATAAACATTGTGATAATATCAACATGAATTTTTGTTTAATAAATTAATACATTTTATTCCTTGTATATTTCTAGTACTATTGGGTGCAAGCCTTTATGTCTCAAATAAATGAATAAATAAATGTTTGTATTCTGTTATTACTAAACTGTCAATCTATAAAACTGTAGGCAATTAGAATTTATTTCCATGAATGATTATAATTATATGAAAAAGAAAAGATGCCTAATTATTAACATGGCCCATAGGTATTGTACGAGATGTCTGCCTATTTATATAAAATTTAACTAGCTTTATTTCAGTGGCTTTAAGATTAATGTACAAAAGTAAACATTGTTTGATAATAGGTACCTGAACTGCATCGCCAATATCATTGTCAACAGCACTGAGTTCACTGAAAATTCTACCATAATGTAAATGTATCATGTCTACGTTGTAAAGTCGCTCTGCTTGTTTTGCTCGATATGTCAATATCTTATTTAAAGAACCCTAAAACACAAAATATTTATCAAACATAGATGAATTAATGAAATTCATATTTGGTATGAGGTATACCTGTAATTTATTGCTGTATGTTTTAATTGCTTCAAACCGTTTATCTGAATTTCTACCCCTCAATGATGCATTCATTGTTTTAATTGTAAGCTCTGTATCTTTTAAAATGTCTGAAATTTAATTCATACAAACGGCGATTTTAGAATAGGTTTTTTTTGTAATCAAAATCATTAATAGTTTGAATAGTTTTAACTATATATTTCATATTGTTTGTAATAAATATGTTTGACTCACTGTTATGTGACTTTGATGGATCCATCCAATTATCACATTCGCCTAGAAATTTAAGAAAACATTCGTCATAACCTATTTCCGAATGGCCAGCTATTCGCTTTAGAAAACTCTCTAGTCCTGCACGTCTTCTATCAACAAAATCTGGATCCATAGTATCAGATACAGCTTCACTGTTCCACATGAAAGATTGTTTCTTTTCTGGTAGTGGCGGTATGACAACCCAAGGATATTTATCTCCCAAGTGGTTGTGAAGTGTCACAAAGTCTGTATATCGTCGGGTTGCCAATGACAACTTTTGCATTCCTTTTGTTTCGGCCCATGCCTCACTGTCAATTCTTCACGCACAAGGTAAACAATTATTTGATAGGTTGTAATAAGTAATAATATAGCGGTTTAAGAACATTTTTGTCAATTACTTACTTTGTTTCAATGATGTACACAGTATAATATTCTTTAAGGCTCAATGCTGAATTCATACGCTTGTCTGCTTCTGTGATACCAATATTTGCATGGTCGAGCAACGTCTATGTACCAAAATAAAAATACATAAAATAATTATATATTTTACTGCAAAACAAATTCTGTAACGTAACTATGGCGGACATTGAAGTGCCAATAGATACATACCTCAGATTCAGTGGAGTTTTCCATAGTTAATGGAAATTGTTAAATCGGAAACCGTATTGTCAAGGAAAATTATCAGATAGTTTTTAAACAGATTTTGTGCGTAAAAAAATAATGCGAATATGAAAAATACAAGTAGGTAGGTAATAGTATAATACTGCAATATAATTATTGTAAAATTATCTAATCGATCTGTTTATCTGATAACTGATAAGGGAATAACTGTAGATAACTGAGATTATTGGGGGCCCGAAAAGTGTGTCAAGGCCGTTTGAATCCGTAGAAAGCTGTTGGCCATTCGAAAAGAAAACTAAAAATTGTCGAATTATTTTCAAATAGTCGAATGGAACATATATAATATAACGTATAATAAAACTTAGTAATAGCACAGATAATATAGAATAACTTATTAGTTATTAGTGTTATTACATATAGCTGTGGTAATAGGCAATAGATAAGGGAACGTGTCCGGACATGATTCCATCAACGAACTTCGTGCATAATTATTTAATTTTGACATTTGACAATATTATTTTGCCGCGTCCATTAACGTAATAATTGTAATTTGTATACCAACTATATCAGTTAATTACAGTCAATTACTTTCGAAACGATATTACAATAATATACTGAAACTGAATACGGACATTAACTAGTAACATAGTTGAGTAGTTGACACACGTTTATTGACGCCGCACCCATGCAATATTTAATGAGGCCCATTTTTTATTAGCTAGTCATTATGTTTTTGTACATAGACTATAGAGTATTGTATTAACATAAGAAGTAATATAAGATTGGGTTCTGGACTTCACGTCATGAACATGGTTTGCTTGTATTTATTTGATTACATTAATGATGTAACATTGGTGTAGTCGGTGTAGAGTGATGAATTGAATGGAGGGGGGAGGGGGCTATAGCCTTTTTTTGCGGTATGGACGACGTTGTCGAAACTTCTTGCGAATTCCCTGGAGCCCCCTTACCCCCCTCCCTAATTCTACGCGTTGTCTGCTATAAAATAGGTATAAAGAATTATGATATTATTTATCATGAATTGAGAAGTCTGAAATAATTATAATTCACAATTATCTTGCTCATGATATAATTTATTGATGAAAATGTAATGTACTAATATAGACATTTAGCAATGTGTATTGTGTTTGTGTTAAATTGTTAAAGAACTGAAGAAATATAGATGGCATTCTACAGAATCATTAAAATCCCATTCCCTTGTAGATACTGTTTAGTAATGTATTAAATGTTATTTCGAATTATGCCTAGGATCTCTAAAGAAAAAAAGAAATTTTATCATGGCATATCTATTTTTTTACAAATATATTTATTCAAAATACACATTTTTTGCCTGGACAAAGTCGGTCAAGACAACTATTGAACTATTTATAATATATAATATTCCTTCGATAACCTAAATTACAAAATATATTACAGAACAGATTAACAGAATATGATAATTAACAGAATATGGTGATTAACAGAATATGATACCCAATCATAATAACTATTATATGATCTATTATAAGACTGTAAAAATGGCAATCATTTAAATAAACAAAAAAATATTAAACTTCGTAGATACGTATTTTAATTCGTATCGGGAAATACATAAAACGTGTGTTTGACTCACCACTCACCAGGTGATAATATAGTATTATAGTAACATACTAACATAATTGATATTTAAGTATTAAATAATTTAATAACTTGTTTTAATATTAGGTATTGATATAATTAATATTTAATTTTATTAGCTGAATAATAATTGCATTATTATTATTTATTCATCTGCAGTCTAGAATTACATTAATTGAAAAATAAATATGTTTATCAAATCCCTTTTTAAAATATGCATAGGCAATACAATATGCAGAACGACTTTAGAAGATAACTACACTCCGTGACAGTTACATGCCTTATCAGAACAGAATTCAGAATTGATAAGAGACAAATGTATGAGAACTTAATATCTTCTGTAGGTTCATAATTTTTTTATTTAAATTTAATTTTAATTATCGAGTAAGTCATTTTTATTTGGAAAACATAAATTTGAGCGAAATATGGATGTGTTACGTCCAAGGATATTAAATATTGATGGTCGAAAATATCGTCTAAATACTGCTGATTATTATCCAAACGAGTGTGTAGAAACAGAAATGGACAAAGTTGAAACACAACCGCATAACACTGAAATGTCTGAAAGCCTGCCGTCCTATGTCGAAAGAGAAGGTGAGATTTTTAATGAATGACTATATAGAACGATAGATATTTTAAAAATGTACAAGTATTTGTGACAAAAGGACATTTGGTGCACAGATTTTGATACTATGAATGAAGGGTTTTGATAGATAAACCATATCCTAAAATGCATTGCTCACAATGTAGGTATGTCTATAAAATGTGTTGTTATTCTTCTTGTTATGTTTATAGATTTTGAAGAAGAATATGATGACTTGAATATTTACATGGAAGGTGGTCGATGTGTACTAAATCTAGAAGTGCCAAAGTGAGTTATTGTTTAACAAGATGATTAGAGTTAAATTGATTATATTTCCTTTAGCTACAGTATCCGCAGGCCTACAAAACTCCAAAACTCAATTGTCCTAATCGGTCTATTGTTTAATGGTATTGGTAAAATGTGCGGAGTGGGAGGGGTGATAATGAGGAAGATAAATTGTTTAACTTTAGAGTTTAGATATCATCTTATAACCAGAAATTATACTTTTATAAACCAATAGTGAATGTTAAAAAAATCAGCTACATCCCCTCTCATCCCATTAAAAAATCATTTGACGATCACTGTTTGCTTAGTTGCGTATTAATTCATTCTAGGTCTGTACTATGATGTACTGATATCATATTTGGATATTAATCTTATACTTAAATTATATGAAATGTAACTGCAGTCAAAGACTGTAGTAAGCCAGTTAACAAATTGTCTTTCTCTATGATTCAGAATGTTTCTAGAAGTTCTTCTTGTGTTTCTTGTGTTTGAATAAAATAATAACTTTTAAATATTTAATAAGGAATTATTAAGTAGGTGCCTATAAAGAATTTTAAATTGATGACATTTTTTTTATTTTAGTACATTTTATGGTTTGATCATTGGTAGAAATCGAGAGAATCTCAAAAATCTTGAATATCAAACAAAAACTAGAATTAAAATTCCTAACGTGAAAGAAAAGAGTATAATAAGTAAGCTGATTTGTTTAAAATTGTATAGCATCCACTATAAAGTAAGAATCTTTTAGTAAAAAGTCATATAATGATATATTTTCCCCGGTAATTTTAAATATAGTAAAAAACAAAATAAAATTTTAATCTTAACTTAATGCCCTCAATTAATTATTTTCATATTTAGTAATTAATATTAACTGTATATAGTTATCTGAAATTTATCATTAAACATATTGTACACTTATTATCATTTAAGATGTTATTTTAAATCGTAATATTTATTTAATTTTAAGCTATAAAAGGAGAAGAAAGGGCACAAATTATTGCAGCTAAATCAAAAATTGATGCAATTGTAAAGAGAGGTCGATTAAAACAGAGTATGACTCATTTTGTGTCCTTGCCAATGGTTAACCAAATAGTAATTGATAACTTTTTGGCTTTCAAGGTACTTAAAACCTAATATATTATTCTTATTATCTTTGTAATTTAAAAGGTTTTATCGTTGAGTTGAATATTGATTGTTTATATTTTAAATAATTTTGGATATAATAGGAAATGGTTCTTGATGAATGTGGCCAGTGCCGTGGTGTCACTGAACTTTTATTTCAAAATCAACTTAAACTTCATTTAACAATTACTTGTTTTGTTCTATGCGATGCAGCAGAAATAAAAATAGCTGTACAATTGATGGAACAGTGTGAAAATACTATAATAAAGTATAGAATTAAAATAATATGTATAATGTACATCTATAATACTTGAATACAATTAATAACCTTAATATTTTTCCTTAGACCTATGAATTTGAAATCTTTAGACATATTAGTTTCTGGATTAGATTGTATGAATGATGATCTGTCAGAAGTGAATGTCTTATATGCTAAAGTGGAAAATCCTGAGATTCAAATGTTGGCGGATAAAATACAAACATATTTCCAAGACTGCGGTAAATAGAATAAATAATTTTTACATCAGATTATCAGAAGCATAGTTTTATTGTTTATATACTTTCGTTTAATTTAGATTTGGCGTTACAACCCAGAAATAATCATGTAAAACTACATATAACTTTGATGAATTCTGGATTTTACGAGTATCAATCTAGTGTTAATGGGGATTCTGGCAATAAATCTCATCTTACGTTTGATGCTAGAAAAATAATTGAAGTAAGATTGACAAAATAAATTTATAAAAAATTCTATAAATAATCAATTTGAATTTAATTAGTTATTATCTTTAACTTAGTTGTTATATCTATTAATATACTCAACAAGCAATTAAAGCACATTACAGTTTTAATATTGTTTATCTAATATTTTTTGCAGAAATTTAATGATTATACATTTGGAACCGTACAGTTGACAGACATTCATCTGTCTCAACGCCATACAACTGATTCAAATGGTTACTACAAATCATCATTTGTATTAAAACTTAAACCATGAAGAAATTCATCATCTGTGGTTTTAGAAAATATACCTTTTATTGAATTGAATATAAAATAAAATCCACATAACAGTATTTTAACTTAAAAATTAGAGACAAAACAAATATTGTGTGATCTGTATATTAAACTCATATGTTTATTATCATAATACAGGATATCAAAAATAGTATGTGGTCCTGTAGGTAAAAGAGCCAAGTGTTAAACGTTGACATGGGTTAAAGATGTTAAAAAAAGGAGGGGCAGTTGAAAAAAACAATCTCTTCATATCTTGAAGGCAGACCTTGACATTGACTTAGTTTTCATTCTGAACTTTAAGTGTAGCTAAATTATCCACCACATAGATCTCCAAACTTAAGAAATTGCTGGTAATTTTAGATAATATTTGAATTTGTATTGATTACTTCTAAACTTAAACTGAGCCAATTTTGTATTATTCAAAACATGTAGTACGTCTTATTTTTTTTTACCATATTATTAGACTTGGTAGAAGTCTTATCTATTTTAAAAATATATTATTGTAGACTTCTATGAATTCTATCAAATGCCCATATGAAGAACAACTGCTCTTCTGATGTCTACAAGTAATTTATAACCATTCCAAATTTAGTTTTAGTGCATATTTTATTTTATTATATATATAATATAATTTAATATATATTTATATTTACATACATGTATTATAATATTATATATTAAAAAAAAAACAAGAGGGCTATAATTCTACATTCATAAATAAGAAACAATATTTTCAGCTTATAGGAGAACTTTTATTGTGAAATATGGTTTTAATTTTTTTGGTATTGGAATCACGGTAAATTTGAGAAACACAAAAATAATGGATTTAGAAACAAAAAATTGTTTGTATAAGTAATATCAAAAAAAAAAAAAGAAGAAGATATTTCATAGATAATGTTCTCAGCCATCTATTCACTAACTGTCTTGACACGTCTTGTGGGTGTAGTACTGTAGTGTCCTCTTAAAATTTGTAAAATGCAATATATTTTTATACAAATTGTTTGGTGATAACTTTTGGTTATTTGTAATAAATTGTAGCTCTTAGTAATATAGAAAGGTGCATGATACATCATAGTAATTAAAAGTAAAAATTACACTATAGTACTACACAACATAAAATGCAAAAGTTTTGTTTGTTAAGTTACCCAAGGGTGAAGGTAAATATGATGAAATGATTGACAAACAGTAAATACAATTTTAGTTCATAAATGGTTACTATAATCAATTAAACATGTTAGTGTAATACTGTTACCCGCTATTATCAATTATTATAATTAATATATAATAAATTATTCATCATGATTCATAAATCATAATATTATACATGTTGAACTTAGGAACTTATTCAAAATACTACTGTTTGAATACCATTTGCAACTTTAAAATTAACATATGTACCTAGGTACTTGATAATAATTTAAATATTATTTAAATAGTGTATTTTATATAAGGCACATAAAAAAAAGCGGGTAAGTTTGTCGCTCTGCTGTACATTAGGTGTCTAGAAGGTCGCTGTCATGGATTGTATTAAATTTGAATTCGAATGTAATATCATTTTATACGAAAAACGATAGTGAGCGGTGACGGTATGTCAGTCTAGGATATTTTATACAGTACCTAGTCACTCGATTATTCGAAAAACTCCATAAATCGAACTAAACGCCAAGTCCCCTGAGAAAACCCCTATATTTGAAAAAAATACATGTATTCCGATCCCCTCTATAATTCGTAATGTCTGTCCGCGGTGAGGCACACTACAATTCGAAATTTTTTTTTACGAATCTCTGTAATTCGAATTTCTTTAAACCCGATTATATATGAGTTCAAATGTATAAAGATTATGTCAATCTATATTTTATATGACAGGATTAGGAACGTCAATATTTTGAGCAATCTGAAATGTACGAAAAAAGATGCGATACAATTTTCAATGATATCAGTAAGTTAGACACGCTATGGACCAGATTGTGGCCAACAATTTTTCACAAAAAAAAAAAAATTGGTTTTTTTTAATAATAGGTATGTACAATATAATAATATTAAAAATAAATGTAAAATATAATAATATGTATGGTAAATAAATATCAATTAATAATTTTATTTATAAGTAAATGTCAAAATAAACGTAGTACATATATACAATTTTTCACCTCCCTTTAATTCGAATTATTTTTTTCCCTCAGTAAATCGAAAACCTCTATAAATCGAATTTTTAACTAGGTCCCCTGAATTTCGAATTATCGAGTGACTACTATATTGTTATTATACTTATTATTAATACGGTAGCCTGTAGGTTGAATTAATAATATTCTCAAATTATCAGTGATGGTGGAAAAATATTACCTACATATAAAGATATACTTATGTAAAATTGGGCTGTTTTAGAACCAAATTAAAACAAAATGACAAAAGTCGTTGTTGTTTGTGTTAATATGTAATTTTATCCAAATTTGAGCTTAAAATGTCTGTAAAAATATTTTTTAGATTTTTTAGTTACTGAAAAAATGGTTTAAGTGGAACTTTGTTTTAAATTTTCAATCCTTAGCTTTATACATTTTTAACCATAAAATCATTTTTCAATTTTCAATTTCATTTAAGTTGTTGAAATTTGAACTTTAAATGCTTTAAAAAAAAAAAATCGTGCCTATCTATTTTTAATATTTTTCAACTGATATTGAAACAATATATCAGGAGCCTTGTATTAAATTGTAATGCTTTTTGATCCAAAAAATAAAATTGTATTGACATTAATAAAAAAAAAAAATACTAAAAACATTGAAAATTCAGAATGTTCGTCAATAGAGCTTAAAACAAGTCAAAATATTTTGAAAAATTTATCAAGTATACGAATTGATGAAATAAACATATGGTGTACATTTTAAGTGTTGACAGTTATTCGTTTTTGAATTACAACAATATAGGAAAATTGCTACATTAGAAATCGAGTGAATATCCAATGTTGGAAAAATTTCAACTTCAAACGCTCATAAAAATTTAATTTGCCTTTTCGGTAAAAATTTTTTTTAACTTATTAGGAATCTTGTATTACTTTTTAAGTTATTTGACCGTGCGAAAAAATTTTATCGACAT